CTGAATCTAATTGTCTTTCCTTCATTAAATATAGGAAAATATTGAAGAACAAGAAATGTCAGGAGAGGGGTAGCTTCAGAACGCTGAATCTAATTGTCTTTCCTTCATTAAATATAGCACACTATTGAAGAACAAGAAACGTCAGGAAAGGGGTAGCTTCAGAACGCTGAATCTAATTGTCTTTCCTTCATTAAATATAGGAAAATATTGAAGAACAAGAAACGTCAGGAAAGGGGTAGCTTCAGAACGCTGAATCTAATTGTCTTTCCTTCATTAAATATAGCACACTATTGAACAACAAGAAACATCGGAAAAGAGATAGCTTCTGAACACTGAAATCCAATATCTACGTTTGAATAAATACAGGAACTTCTAAACAAAAATAAACCTCAGGAGAAAAGTAGGCAGCTTCAGAACGATAGAATTCACTGCCTACGCTTCAGTAAAAATAGTTATCTAAACAGCAAGAAAGGAGTAGCTTTAGAACACTGAAACTCACTGTCTACTGTAGGACATTACTGAACAACACGAAACGTCAGGAAAGGAGTAGCTTTAGAACACTGAAACTCACTGTCTATGCTAGGACATTACTGAACAACACGAAACGTCAGGAAAGGAGTAGCTTTAGAACACTGAAACTCATTGTCTATGCTTTACTAATTACAGGTCACTACTGAACAACACGAAACGTCAGGAAAGGAGTAGCTTTAGAACACTGAAACTCACTGTCTATGCTTTACTAAGTGTAGGACATTACTGAACAACACGAAACGTCAGGAAAGGAGTAGCTTTAGAACCCTGAAGTTCACTGTCTACGCTTCACTAATTACAGGTCACTACTGAACAAATAGTAACGGCTGGAAAAGAGTAGCAGTCTATGCTTCACTAACTACAGGTCACTACTGAACAAATAGAAACAGCTGGAAAGGAGTTATTCATTGCAATATTTCTCTCACTGTTCTTCACTTTGACATAAGATTGTAGAAATATAGCAAACAGGGTTGATCATATACTGTTTTCCGTTCTGTTGGTAAACAAGGGTTGATTATATACTGTTTTCTGTTCTACTGGCGAAAAGAGGTTGATTTTTAAGCTGTTTTCTGTTCTACTGGCGAAAAGAGGTTAATTTTTAAGCTGTTTTCTGCTCTGTTGGTAAAAAAAAAAAGAGTTCATTTTAAACTACCTTTTATTGCATAATTGATATCGTGTTTGAAAATAGGTCAATTGAGGCTATCCTTGATAAATAGTTATATGAAAATATATTACAGTTAGTAGTACAGAAGGTAGTTTGATACTAATTTGTAGTTGAACGCAGACAGTTTAAAAATAAACTTACCTAATAAATCAAAGACAATTCAAACCAATCTCACTTATAGAAATAAAAGACAAATTAAATCTTACCTAATAAAGAGGATTTAAAAAGCCTTGTTTAATATTAATGATATTAACCTTCAAATTACTAATTTACTTTTATACTGGTTACTACGGGTGGGGGTCAATATATTGCATCATAATGAGTTAGTTATTGTATGTACTTTCGGGTTATAACAATCAGTGTAAAGAACTGACAAAATATTGATAAAAATCATTTATTTTTTATGTAATATACCCAGGGAATTCCAGCAATAATTTGTGAAATTAATTGATGTTCTTGTGGCTAAGAGACCCCGTAATTAATAACGTCGCGGACCCACAATCAACTTCTTACATAAACAGTTTAGAAAAATGTGTTTAAAAATTCAATGGGTCCTTATTCTAGAATTAGAATGTAGAGGATTTTACTAGTACACGATTGATGATATGCTTGATATAAATTTTAATTACGTTATTAAAAACCTTTGTTTGACGTCGAAATACTCAAGTTTTACAAATATTGCACGTGGCTGGTATTTGAAAAAAAAAATAACAACTTGCATTAATTAATGCGGGAATTTAATCGGTGAAAGATTCTTTAAACTTTGGAGATCCTGTTTCTCTTTAATGCAGATTTAGAACCAAAGATATAGTTTTATTGGTCTATTTACCTTTCATAACTTTCCAAAAGCAATAGAACATCCATCATTTGTAAACCAAATTATTCAACTATATAGGGCGGGGCAAACGTAACTAGATGGTAGAGTTGGTAATGAAGAAAATATCACGAAGACAATTAAAAAAAAACTTAATTATTGTATTGTTTCAGAATAAAAGTTAGAAATTAAACTGTATCCTAAATGAAACAACCGTGCAGTCACTTTTGCCTCATCCTGTATATTTAAATAAGGTTGAAACTCTTGGTACAAGTTGGGACCTAATGGCGTAGTATCCTTATCATATGTTAGTGTGATATGCCAAAAGAAGGAGTTGTGAATAATCCTGCCCTTATGGATCAATTCTGCCAGGACAATGGGTTTATTGGGTGGTTCCTGACATCAGCCAAGAATAATGTCAACATTGAGGACGCTGCAAGGTTTCTCGTGTCAAAGGTATTTGCGAGTATACATTTCTTTTCAGTGTGTGTTTGTCAGCGTTTTAGGAAAATTGTTTTTTTTTTCTTCAAGTGAATCGTATATATATTTAGATGTTTAAACAACTTAAAACAAAAGTGACAGAACTTAGTCACCTAAGATACGTTCCTCAGCAACTTCTTGAAATTTCATTATTTTAATACACATTTCTAACAAATCAAAACTTGAAACGTTTTCTCTTTTTTTATTAAAAATACTAGAAGAAACGCCACCCTACGGACGGATGTTTGTGCTTAGTAATTACTAATCGTAGCATTCATACTTCATTAAAAGAAAATAGAGAAAGTAAACATTTTCTAAAAAAAGGATTTTTTTCTGGGAAGTACTACGCGGGAAAAGTGTTCGAATTGTGCTCTTTAATCATATGCAACTCATTGCATCAAAATGATTTAATGTACAGAGCCCAAAATTTTAATAAATTTCACTGATATAAATTGTAATATTTTTATATATTAAAAGTGGTACCGTTTAATGAAAAAATAATAGTTTTTTTTTCAAGAACTCCAGTTTTTTAGTACTACATTTAAGAATTAGATCAATAAACATATAATCAAACCCTCATATACAGTCCTAGTGAAAGTCATGTTCTTGTAAGTACTTTTATTCAAAATCCTTTTCTATTATAAGGAAATGGTTGTTGCACATACTACAGTTATTTTTCTAATTCTCTGAATCTTGAATACCTAAAGTGTGAAATTTTTGTTTGGGGTGCCATTCAATAGATAAAGCAAGAGTTTTGGTTTCATACATAGATACTGACATACACGCTACGTCCATTATAGTAAGATATCATTATGTGTCCAACTAAAGTTAGTTATATTTTAATTTGTCATTTATTATTATACCTTAAATATAAAGATTTTTTTTGCAGTGTTAGCTTAGAATTTGTATGTAAATCTCCTAAGCTGACCTAACCTTGTGAGATATTATTAGGATTACGGCCGAAAATATCCATAACAACGAGAGTATCTAACTAAGAAAACAGTGCATTCTAACATCTATAAGCAACAGCTTAAGAAACGTATACTTAATTAGCTATACCGATGGCTAGATTGATTTTTAGTTTCGTTCTAAGTTCATAGCTTACTCTGATTGGTAGCTATTATTATTTACTAACTGTTTTCAACGTTTTGATAAATCATGTAATTTTATAATTAGGAATGCCTAATATTGTTCAAGATATTTATTTAGTGAAGTATGGCTGGGAATATTACAGCTGTTTTAAATTTCAAATAGAGCTATCCCATGATCTGCACGAGGCAGGAGCTTTAGGCTGTAGAAGTTTGTTATGTTTTTGTTTCATTCTCTGATTAGTTTATGTAAATTTATTGTGATATAAGTTCCAAATTTTCTTACTTTTCCTTAGATTTTGACCAATCAGAAGTCGTTGATAGCCGAAGAATCTCTTTCAAACAACATTGTCTTGGAACACTATCAAAATTCTCATCACATCTCCAAAGATCGCAAGTGTTGCTAATGGGACCAAAGGTTACAGACATTTTTTGTTGCTTATAGCAACAGATTTATAAGAACAGAATATGAGAAGTAAAACTATATAATAAACGCTAGATGCTAGCTGTCTGTATCAATTATTAAACGAATGTTTACGTCGCACTGTTAACACATATTCGACCTTTTCAGTTCGACACTAATCATATGATTTTTCTTCCAATATATAACTCTATTTTATTATCTTTTAGCATCTTTAGAACGTTAGAGCTAGCACTTTGTAGCTTTACTGTCTCGATTGAAATAACAATAAAATAAAAATTAATATTAATTTAACAATCAGTCATCAAGCCTTAGAAACAAGAATCAAACTTAACAATTAGATATAATAAAATAGAGAGAGTTAAAATTCTTACTTGGGAGTTAATATGAGAGATTAGTCTATACATTGTTTTTAACAAAAGGTAAAATTAAATGCCAGAAATTCAAGTACAGCCTAAAAAAAGAAGTTAAGGTAATTTCACAGAGGCGATGAAACATATATAACAAATCTGACAAAATATAACAGTGAATTTCTAAACACTGAATTACTCTGCAGCCTAACGTCTAAACTTTATGTTGTAGAGAATCAAAAGTGTTAACATCAACCAAGCAAAAGTAAAAATCTATATATTACATAAAGCTTTAACACTTTAGACTAATGTTTCTCAACCGGGGTGCCGCAATATTTTAGCAAAATACTGTTATCTCTATGATCCCCTTCCCTGGCTACGCCACTGTTAACTAGAGCATGTGGGGTGTCTTGAGCAAAAAAAAAAATGGTTGAAAAACACTGGTGTAGAGATTTAAAAAATATAAAACCAAAACAATTGAGATACAATCTACACAACTCTCTCTATATAAAAGGTTGCATTGAGTTTAAGCATAAACTGACGTTAAAAGAATCCTTTACACGTTAATCACAGTAAATTCAGAAATATTTGCTTTTCTGCCTTTGTAAAGCAATGCACATCTCTTTTGTCTCTTCTATTGTGTGTGTGTATATATATATATCTTCCACCACCACGATAATAGAATAAAATAGTTAGAGAAATACTAAAATATTACACCAGTTCCCATTTGTAAAATAAATAAATAATTATAATAGTCGATTATTAAAACTAAAGAAGAAATTGATATCTCTGGGGTTGTGGCATCACATGTTTTATTGTTCCAGTCTGTCTGCCCCATGTGCTGCACGCGCCTTTATGAAATAGATTAGCGGTTAACTTAACTTTATTCCCTTCTTCTCTGTAAACCCTAGAATTATCTGTAAAATTAAAGTTAAATGGAGCAAAGACTTTAATTTTTTGAGAAACAAATAGTGTCACAATATAACTGTTGGTATAAATTGACCCGGTGAACACTGTGTTGAAATATAAAATACATCATATGAAGTAAAACTGACGGTATAAATTGATCCGGTGAACACTGTGTTAAAGTATAAAGTACATCATATGAAGTGAAACTGATGGTATAGATTGACCCGGTGAGCACTGTGTTACAGTATAAAATACATCATATGAAGTAAAACTGTTGGTATAAATTGATCCGGTGAACATTGTGTTAAAGTATAAAGTACATCGTATGAAGTGAAACTGTTGGTATAAATTGTCCCGGTGAATTTTGTGTTACAGTATAAATACATCATATGAAGTAAAACTGAGGGTATAAATTGACCCGGTGAACATTGTGTTACAGTATAAAATACATCATATGATGTAAAACTGATGGTATAGATTGATCCGGTGAACACTGTGTTACAGTATAAAATACATCATATAAAGTAAAACTGATGGTATAAATTGATCCGGTGAACACTGTGTTACAGTATAAAATACATCATATGAAGTAAAACTGATGGTATAAATTGACATGAAGTGAAAAATTCAATATAACTGTTTGGTATACAGTGTAACACCAGCACGTTACATTCATAATTAGATATAACATCAGCATGTTACACTCGAAATCCAATGTAACATAAAACATGGATCCGACTAATATGTGTTGTCCGTTGTGTAAGTTTGTGCTCAATAAGAAACAAACAAAATTGTATGTATGTAGATTGTTTTAAATTAAACACAAAGATTGTACATTAATCAACACATTTTTGTGATACTTTGATTGTGTTGTTTTGAACCCAAACTTGTGTTGTAACCATAACAGAAGGTGTAATGCTTTAACACGCGTTTTTTAAAGTGTGTGTTTTCAGTAAACAATTAAAACGTTTCTATGATTATTTTTGTGAATACTTTTAAACTCTGATAAAATAACAATAAAATTGATACCAAAATAACAACAGAGTCTTTCACCTATATTATAATCTATAGCTTTCTAAATACATATTACTAACATTTTTGAAATGAAGAATAATTATTTTTTCCATATGTAACAGCCACCTTAGACTTTGTATTGTAAATATATACATTTTATTAGGATTATAAACAAAATAATAAAATAAACACAGCACGAAGAGTTAAATACTATCACCTACTCACATGTATATGGATTTGTGTAAAATAATTTAAACTTCTTTCTTTAGTCTACAGCGAATTTGTGTGGCAACCATAACTAGTAGTTTCTGTATTCAGCTAACAACCAGTATAGAAGTTTCTGTAACCAGCTAACATCCAGGATAGAAGTTTCTGTATTCAGCTAACAACCAGGATAGAAGTTTCTGTAGCCAGCTAACAATCGTAATTAGAAGTTTCTGTATTCAGCTAACAACCAGTATAGAAGTTTCTGTAGCCAGCTAACAACCATAACTCACTAAATTCAAGAGCTTTGTCAGAACTCTTGTGATATTTGTTATACTTATATATATATATATGTATATATTGTTTGTATTTTAACTATACAATGGGCTACCTGAGCTATACCCACCGCAGGTATCGAATCCTACATTTTAATGTTATAACCCCTCAAACTTATCGCTGAGCCACCGTGGGGGGGGGGGGAATCTATACATATTTATTGAAACAAAGGTATATATATACGCTTTATTACCGCAACAGAATCTAGATTTAGGAGCATTCGTGACACTGGCTTCTTTCAGCCTCTCACGAGCAAACTCGTGATCAACATCAACGATCGGTTGAGAACTTTAATGGACTGCCACTTGGCTGCGCTTACCTTTTATAATACTTTACAGAAGTTTCTACAGTCACCCGAAGAAAGCCTCAATACAGAAGCTGAAACGTCGTTCTCTTTTCACTCAACAGGCAGTGGCTGCCCATTAGAGTTCTCAGACCTACTCTGTCTAAAGTTCCATGGAAACAAGAGTATCACCCAAATTAAATGGTGAGGTCCTTTTAAGTTCGCTCTGAATAATCTTTGTTCTCAGAAGAAATTAAGGAAAAAATCAAAACGGACCTTCAGACACTGAGAGACCTGAATATATTGCAATGTTACAGCTCCACGGGATGAGTGGCAGGTCTTGGTCACAGTCATATCTAAATGCTGGTTAAACATTCAGTGGTTATATGGTTCGACCATTTCGTTTGATTATAGGAGACGGACTGTTATTATCCTGATTTTCGTGATGAAAATTCAACTTATTTCAGCAAATAGAAAAGAAAAGAATTAGTAAAAGCTTATAGTTTAGAAACAAATAGAAAATATTTTTGCAGATAAAAAAAAAATATGCTGTTGAATTCCAATTTTAACGGACAGTAGTACGTCATAGTAGAGTAAGAAAAACAGAAAGTTTGGTCAAACTGGAACATCGTATCAATGTAAATTGATTTGAATAATTTAAGAATACACTGTTGATAAAAGAAACTGAGTTGTAAGTCACGTGCACCAATTACCAACTAACTTTTTTCCCCCTAAAATTAATAGGTATAAAAACTACTGAATCGAGAATATAGTCTGACGACTTTCAAGGCAAGAAAATATATCAAAACATGTTATACAAATATCATATGTTTAAATCTAATAAAGGTAAAAAAGGAATTTTCTTTTTCTAATGAAAAATTTAATAGTTAAAAACTAACTGTTTAAATAATTAAAAAGAAAAATGGAACACAAATTATCTGCTTAAAGAATACAGTTTTTTCGTCAACATATCTAACAAATGATTAACATATATATATAGATTTATTTTATTTTTCACCAGAGATAATATTGGAAATAGAATCTGTGACTTAGAGGCCTCATGCATTCTTTTATTGGTCATATCCTCTGTTGTGGACTGCAGTTTCGCCTATTCAAGGCTCATCAGCACAGCTTGGGTCAGCCAACCAAAGAAATACAGTTAGGCCTTCTTATAATAACAATAATTTCTAATAAAGCTTGACGATCTTCAGGACATTGTTTTAACTCGATTACTTTATGATAACAGATATTATATTTTGCATTCATGACAAAACTACTAATACTATCTATCGTTCCTTATCTTGAACCACTAACCAGACAGACAGACAGCACTTTCCCGCCTAACATCCACGATAAAGATTGTTTTTTGTATGTTTTAGCGTAAAGCTACACAATTAGCTATCTTCGCTCCATCCACCGGGATAAATCGAACCCTAGATTTTATCGTTGTAAGTTCGTAAGCTGACCCACACTAAGAAATTTACTGTCGTTCTTAATACGCATACACAGCTTAAAGTGTTTGGGAGATTTATTTTGTGATAAAGCACAAATTCGAATCAGGCACGTTGACTTCGAAATAAAGAGTCCTGCCACAGAGCCAATCCGCGCCTAGTAATAGTCGCACAAGTTAACTAAGCTAGAAAAAATTCTCTCTCTCCCTGTGGCTAAACTAGAATATTGATCAGCCCACATATTAACTTTGCTGAAGTAAGAGATCTGTGCGTTTGACGATTTGCCCCTGTCCAAGCCAGGTAATCGGGGTAAAATTTCCTGAAACCGGTTTAACTTTTATCCAAATACTTTGTGTGTGTGTGTGTTTTGTGATAAAAAAAATACAAGAACAACCTGTTACAACGTTGAGACCGAAAGTCGTAAGGAAAATTCCTTTTTTTTTTGCGGCCTAAAAAACCCATGATAACAGTTTAAATATTCATTTTTTTTCTATAGTACGAGTGCACGTCTTTAGAGACACTCTACTGATTTCT